TGCCTTTGAATTATGGTGTTGGCAAAGAATATTGAACATAACCATGGACTGCCAGAAGAAGGAACAAGTCTTTATTGGAAGAAGTACAGCCAGAGTGCTCCCTAGAAGCAAGGATGGTGAGTGAGACTTTGTCTCACATACTTTGGACATGTTATCAGGAGGGACCAGTCCCTGGAGAACATCATGCTTGGTAAAGTAGAGGGTCAGCGAAAAAGAGGAAGATCCTCAATGATATGGACTGACACAGTGGCTGCAACAATGGGCTCTAGCATAACAATGATTATGAGGATGGCGCAGAACCGGGCAGTGTTTCTTTCTGTTGTACATAGGGTCACTATGAGTCGGAACTGAGTTGATGGCATCTAACAACAACAACAGTAAAGAATGCTTTCTGGTATTAGCCCAAGAGACAGAGAGGGCCACATAAACCAGAGACGTCATCATCTTGAGACCAAAAGAAGTAGATGGTGCATGGCTACCACCAAAGACCACCCTGACAGGGAACACAACAGAGATTTCCTGACAGAGCAGGAGAAAAGTGGGGTGCAGAACTCAAATTCTAGTAAGACCAGACTTAATGGTTTGATTGAGACTGGAGGGACCCCAGAAGACATGGCCCCCAGACTCTCTGTTAGCCCAAAACTAAAAGCATTCCTGAGGCTAACTCTTCAGACAAAGATTAGACTGGACTATGGGACATAAAAATGATACTTGTGAAGAGTGTGCTTGGCTCAAGTAGATGCATGAGACTAAATGGGCGGCTCCTGTTCACAGGTGAGATGAGAAGGCAGAGAGGGTCAGGAGCTGGTTGAATGGACACGGGAAATCCGGGGTGGAAAGGAGGAGTGTGCTGTTATAGTATAGGGAGAGCAACAAGGATTCATAACAATGTATGTATAAATTTTTGTATGAGAGACTAACTTGAATTGTAAACTTTTACTTAAAGCACAACAATTAAAAAAAAAAGAATGCCTTCTGGCTATAAAATGAAAGAGAGGACACAAACTAAGAACTATAAGCACAACTCTGAATTTCTTCATTTAAACTCAGCGTATGTCATGGTAATTCACAGTGGTCAAGGAGTTTGGTCATCCTGCAAGATTTGAGGTCTCTGAGTGGTGTCCTACTATTTATCAAAACTTCCATTGAGCCAACTGCAAGGAAGCACTTGTTGTTGTCCTTCCCTCCCATAATTCTTAACTTATAAATGCTCCCAAAGTCATCAACACAGCATTGTAGATAATAGATTTAATGTTACTAAGACTATCACACATTGCATTCAGATACTGTTAGAAAGCAAAAAGGTTAAACATTGGCAGTATTTCCTCTTGCAGATGGTATAGCTTGGGAACTAGCAAACCCTCCCTTTGGCAAAACAGTCTCCTTCTGCCACCAAACTGTGTGTGTATGTGGCCCTGGGAGGGGAGGGGTTGCCTTCATGTAAACAAAGAATACCTCCACAACTGCTACAAATTGGCCATAAACTTTCAATTGGAGGATGAGGTTTGATTAAAGAGCAATGTTAATGTTTCTTTATGCTAGTAAAAATAGGGTTCTACTTGTAATACCAACTCTAGTAGCTCCCATGGAAATTATGGGTAGCTTTTGGGAATCAGTGACCCTTGCCTTTCTATGTTAGCATTGAATAACCTATGGAGATCTGGCTGTGTAATTGTCTTTTACATAAAATGGAACCCAAGATCTTTTGGTGTTAGAAAATATTCATGCAAATATTCCATAGCCAGTCTATTACAAAAAGAAACACAAAGCCAATTTTTTTAAAGGAGGTTATGTTCAATCTTAAGATAAAACCATTAAGTTCCTGCCTGACTTGCTGGCAAAGTCAGACAGGCTACAGCAGGGAAAAAGTCATCTTATTTAAAAAAAAAGAAAAAAGGAAACATAGCTCAAGTGAATCCCACAGGGAGAGGCAGTTCAGGAGCAAACTAGAAATTGGGTAGCAAACAAAAATTAGAGCATCTTGTAAGTGAACCATCAATAAGAGGCCCTTTATATATTGTAAGTAAGAACTGAGCCAGAGAACCACTGGGATCACAGAATAAAAAGGATGAAAAAGAGATAGCAGCTATATTGAATGAATTTTTGAAATGAGTAAGCCAGTCCTATGTCAAATTTATCATTTGAGGCAGGTAGATGCGTCAGAGGAAACAATGGGAAATGTGCAGGAAACTCTGGTTCTAAGCTACAAAGTAGATATAGTCAAAAGCATAATGACTGGAACTAAGTGATATAGTTATCAGGGCTGGTCCTGTGTAAAACTAGTTGGCAACAGTGTTTTTGTTTTTGTTTTTGGTACCCCTTTCCCTCTACTCCTCTACTACCTAATTCCTGCTCCTCTGAATATTCAGGGTACTCATGCTCTAACCCCTTCAAAATCTGTCAAGAAAGGCTCTTTTAAACCATACATGAACAGCACAGTGGGGGTCAGGAGAGGTTGTTCCAAAATTGCATTTTAAGCTCTATTTCTAATCGTATAATAAAAATATGTGTTTTCTGTTCAAGGAATTTCAGGTATTAGTTCAACAGATGGGAGAGATGTTTGTGGCAGGAAGCCTTCCTGGCACCCTTGGAATCAGAGGTCCCTTCCCATAACACCTTGTCCAGATTTGACTTCTTATTTTTTTAATTGTGCTTTAGATGAAGGTTTACAGAGCAAATTAGTTTCTCATTAAACAATTAACACACATATTGTTTTGTGACATTGACTGTCAACCCCACGACGTGTCAACACTCTCCCCTTCTCGATCCTGGGCTCCCTGTTTCTATTTGTCCAGCTTTCCTGTCCCCTTCTGCTTTCTTGTCCTTGCCTCTGGGCTGCTGTGCCCATTTAGTCTCATATACATGGTTGAGCTACGTGTATTATTGTTTGTTTTATGGGCCTGTCTAATCTTTGGCTGAAGGATGAACCTCAGCCGTGACTTCAGTACTGAGTTAAAAGGGTGTCTGGGGGCCATACTATCGAGGTTTCTCCAGTCTCTGTCAGGCCAGTAAGTCTGGTCTATTTTTTTAAGTCTGAATTTTGTTCTGTATTTTTCTCCAGCTCTGTCCGGGATCCTCTACAGATTTGACCTCTGAAGAAAATCAAAGGAAAAAAATTTTATAATTCTAATGAAAACCTAAATCATCATTGTGTGGATTTCTGGTGTGGTTTCACAGGTAAAAGAGGCCCTGGGAACCATGAACTGATGAGTGTCTGGTTCTTTAACAGGCAAGCTAGAAGAATCTTTAATAAATGCTAGCCTCCTGTATGTTATAGCCATCAAACTACTGACAGCGGTGGCAAGGGGGCCAACATGGTTTCTGTAAAGGGAAATCATGTGTAATCTTCTATGGATCTTTTCCTTGGGACTAAACTAACTTTTAAAATGCTTCTGATCAAGTTTGATACCTAGGCTATTTTTAAAAATGAACTGCCATGAGATTTAAAATATTTTTTTTTATCATATAGTAAGAACTGGTTTACAGGAAAAGAAAAAGCAAACAGAAAATACAGGGGGAAAACAGACATTTTTATGAATGAAGAAGGATAAATAGTATAGCTCCTCAGTGGTGGGTACTGGAACCTCTCAAATCTGCAGTTGATACTAAGCTTTTCTAGGCAGTGAGATGCTAAGTTGATGGGGGTAAAAGGAAGATCTCAGAGGTTGTCTGATTGGCAGATTAGCTTCATCAGGGACATGTGTCAGGTAATTCATTTAGGGAGGGGCAGATATTACAAACTATACTTGCAGGATGATGAGTGTTGACCTTTCAGTTAAGACCCAGGAAGAAGCTCTAGGAAATACTGTGTACAGCACACTGAAGAGAACAACCTAGCTTCCTGCTATGGCAAAAAAAAAAAAAAAAAAAAAAAGCAACAAATGTTGGGCACTCTCAAGAAGGGGATTAAAAGGAAAACAAAATAATTCTTCTCCTTGCACACAGAACTGCAGGACATCTTTAGTGGTTAACTTCCCTATGCAACTCTGATCCCAATATCTTAAGAAGGAGAGAACAGAGACTAAGGAGATCTGTAAAAATGGCAGTGTGGGGACATTGGACCTGCTTGTCTAACTTCACAAGGTGGGAAGAGAATCATTATCCACATCAACAGCCCAAGGCTGATTGCTATGAGGTGGAGGTCAGACGTATCTTTACCCTCCAACCTTTTTACCAATTCTGACACAGCCGTCCCTCCCACGATGCTCTCAACTTCTCTGCTGGGTTCGATAATTCATTGTAATGGTCACAAAGAACTCACAGACAGTACAATTATGGGGTTTATTAGGGAAGAAACAGGTCATTCAGGATCAGGAATGACCCAGGATAGTTCTTCAGTCAGGACAGCTTTTCAGCCATGCCTGCAGGCAGGCCTCTCCCTGGGCCCCTGAGCCTCTGGGCCCCACAGCCTGCCCTCTGTCCTCCTTGGTCAAGTGTTACAAAGGTCTTTAACTCCACTGACAAGTGCCCAGGGGCACCTCACTTGCCAGTAAGCCTCAGCCCGAAGGTACTTAGCTCTCTGCTCCATGGGTCTGTTACACTAGCGCTGCTGACAACTGCCCAGAGACACCCCACTCCACCAGGAAGCCTCTTGCATAAAGACTCTCAGCTCTCTCATTCCACAGGTTGGCATGCCCACTGGAGCCTCCTTGCTCCGTGGGCTGGGAAGCCCATCGTTCCATCTTGGGCCGGTCTCCTGGTTCCACTGCCACTGTTTCTCTGCTGCTGCTTGTTGCTGTCTCATGCTGTCTCCAGTGTTACAGCTCTCCCTCTCTGTCTCCTGGGTCTCTAGGAGGTTCTCTGCACAGAGACCCGGGGTACAAAGGATGCACTCCACTCCTGGCTCTTCTTTCTTGATAGTAGTGAGGTCTCCCCTTTCCGCCTCTGGGATGGCTCATTTTAAGCCTAGCAGGATGGCAAAACTGGCTAATCGCCTTGTCAGAGTTCCATGCACCTTATTTGCATTGTTAGCAAGCTGTCCAATCACCATGGTGGGCCACAAGCAACTTATTTGCATTGTCCTACACAATCACTGTGTGGGAGTTATAAGACCATGTATGGCTAAAAGAGCCATATTAAGTAATTCACTGTACAGCAGGACCAAAGAACAACAACTAAAATCATTAATGGCAGGCTTCAAAAAGACTTTTTCAGTCTGAAAATACAGAAGTAGCCAGGAGATATGATCAAAATCTCTAAAATTATGAAGAGGCTAGTGCTGCTGAATGATGACTTGGTTTACCCAACCTTTTGAGCTAAGAGGTACCTCTGAAGCACAAAGTTCTTATTTTTTAATCATTCTACTTTGTTCATACAACTTCCAGTGATGATGGCCAGTGCAGCTCCTTTGGGAAGTCCCTGTTTCCACCAGAGGTTGGGAGAAATCTGAGCTGAGTGGAGGAAAGATCAAAAGCATTTCAGTTCCCCATTGCTGTTGCTGTTGCATGCCGTCTAGTCGTTTCTGACTCATAGTGACCCTATGGGGCAGTTGTACTCATAGGGTTGCTATGAGTCAATCCCCATTAAGAAAACCAAACGCACTGCCATTGAGTAAATTATGACTCATAGTGACCCTACAGAACACAGTAGAAATGCCCCATAGGTTTTGTGTGGCTGTGACCTTTATGGAAGCAGAAACTGCCATGCCACCAGGGGTCCTTCAATCCCCATTACTTACCTGAAATAATGTTGACATGCTGACTTCTAGTTAGGCTCACTTTCTCTGCTACCATTTGTCAACACTGAATTTGTGCCTCACCAATCTCAATTTTTATAAATATGAGTTTAGCCCCACCATTCCGTAGGGCTTTTCAGCCCCAATGGTCTAAACATTGGCACCAATCTGTTTGCTACAAGTGGCTGTAATTAAATTCTTAACTATAGTGTAAAAAGAATAAATTTCTAACTCCAATTTTAATACAATGGATAGAACTCAAGAATGTATAATAAAGAAATGTAGTCAACTCTCTAATATTCACATGGGTGGAGGAAGTACAGATTTCAATAATGGAAAACTGAAACTTATCCTCCTAGCCTAAGGAAATCCCATACATGCAAGTTTCTTCAGCTAAGAAGTAGCAGACAAGGGATCCACTGAGGGTGGCCTAGAAACTCTGTTCTTGGGATGGCCTTAATAATACTGGGGAGCAGGTAAGGTAAAACCAGGAACATGGCTGTGGTCCAACCACTTGGCTCTCCCAAACAGGGGCTGGCTACCTGATCAAGTAAGCATAATGAGCAGTATACAAAAGCAATGTGGGTATGGAGTGGTTTTCTTTTTCAAATTGTTCCTTGAAAACAAGAATTCTGTGAGATTGGGGGCCACTTCATCCTACAGAAATGTAATCCACTTGTTATTGCCCCAGCATTACTTCCATACCTTTCACAGATGTAGTAATACTTCTCATCCTGTATGCCATCCTGAATGGGCACATTTACACTATAGTACCGTCCCTTCCCTAGGCCAACATCAGACACGTCACCTGTTCCTGTAAAAGAGAGTTAAGAGGAGCACCATGATCAGTTATTAAGAATATGAAAACTAGAAAACTTGAAGAAGGATCCTCTGATAGGAATTCAGAAGACCTAAAAGGTCAATTAGGAGAACAATTCTGAATTACTGATGGTTTCTAAGGGATTGAAATTAAGAAAAGTAATATGGAGAAGTAACTGCTGTAAACAATGTTGGGGAAACAGGAGAACCATAAAGAAAACTGAAAAACCTTGGTTTCCATCTTGCTGGATCAAATCGACTTGTCATGCTACTTAACAAACCTGTTGCTGTCGAGTTGATTCCAACTCACAGCAACTCTATAGGACAGAGTAGAACTGCCCCATAGGGTTTTCAAGTTTGTGATCTTTACGGAAGCAGACTGACACATTTGTGTCCCGCGGAGCGGTTGGTAGGTTTGAACTGCTGACCTTTTGATTAGCAGCTGAGCACTTAATCACTGAGCCACCAGGGCTCCTTTCATGCTACTTAGGTTGACATAATATTAATATATCATTGCAATTATCAGGATGTTAGGAGTTAAATGGAGTATCAGATAGTATAGTATGGGTAAGTGAGCTGCCTGTGACAGTCTATAAAAATCATCTGGAAAAAGAAACGATTTTATATTTCTCTCGTCAATGTCACCTCAAATAACTGTGTTAAAATTTTGCATAGAAAAGCACCAATAAGCTATTAACAGTATAGAGCTACCCAAACGTAAGACATAAGAAATATACAGAGAATTGCTGTATTTATTCCTTAAATGTAATACTGAACACATAGATCACTTGCCTGGGAAAAATCCAGGGGAGAATTTGTGCAAAGACACGGTCATGACTTTGGAGGTGAAACTGAAGGCGTCTTCTACACCTACCAAAGAAAGAAACATCAGAAGAATCACTTCATATATGGCACTCCTGTTTTCAACAACTGAAATTATAGAAAGCAATACTGGGAGGAAGAGAATATAAAAAGGCAGCAAAAATAAAGCTAATACAGCTGAAGAATAAAAGTAACAAAAGCCTCTGTAATTACAAGATGAGGTAGAACTTTGGCCTCAAGTGAAGTTTTGGGGCTCCTTTGAAAATTTATGGCAAACTATAACTAGACTTTTCCTTTTTAAGCAATGGGATATCAGGGCTCTCTTTGCCAACCTGTTTTAAAAGGTTGGGAAGGGCTAGAGCTCAGAATTGAGGAGTTACCCACCAGAACTGAATAGAGGAAACTGGCACCATCTTGGAAGTTTTGTTTTGTTTTAGTGGTTCTAGTTAAATACTTGGGATTATTTTTTCCAAAGAAGTACAATTTAGAAACCCTTTGAAAAACATGACCAATACAGGCATTAGGTATTTTATAGTGAACACCTAATTAGAAAGTGCCCGTCTGTAACACAGATTTGGTTATAAACGCAGGTCACGCAAAGTCCCTTGTGCCAACTTACAATACATTTTTCTGGCTATAAAATATGGAAGGCTGAAAATAGCCTTTGCCTTGTCCTTAATAGCAGCTTTATAACAGAGTTATAAAGCCTGGAGGAAGACAGAGGCAAAAATACTTTTCCATTTAATCAGAGTCAAAAAATGAATAGAGGCCTGGGAGATAAAAGATGAGATTTAAAGTAACCCTTACAAGCCACTACTTATACCGATATACACACTGTCCATCTTCATGCCTCTCCTGTCAGAATCATATATAGATATACTATATTTAGATAATCAGTCTGTAAAATAGAAGCACTATTAGCAAGTTCACACAAAGAAATTGTCTCTGTGTTTACTTAATACTCTCAGTCTTCATTAGAGGGCAACAGAAACTTTAAAAAATACTAATTGTATCTGTATAGCATAGGTATGTTTGAAATTTCCCATGCTTTATCTTCTGCCCTAGGGAGGCAGTTAAAACCAGTTAAAGGCTCCAGGCACAAAGCACAAAGAAAAAACAAAATACAACAAATTATAAAAAAGCATTTCAACTTAGAAACTAAAGTATAAACTAGGAAAATTCAGGAAAATCCTGATTATTTACCCTTCTAGAAAGGTTGTACCAATTTACACCTTGACCAATCATGTATGAGAGTTCCCATTTTCCCACACTGTGACTATCGTTGGGTATTATTATTCTTTTTAATCTTAGTCAATAACAAAGGCAAAAAAAAATGATCTCGTTTCAGTTTGCATTTCTCTGAGTATCAGGGGGTTGAGCACCTTTTCATATGTTTAGTGGTTGTATTTGTATTTCTTTTCATGGAAAACATCATTAGGCATTATTATAAAATTGAACTTAAAAGAGGACATAGATAGATTGAGGGTATGGGGCTTGGTGGGAAAGAGAAGAGGGGTTAGGAAAATCAAAGATGGTGAGGAGAGGGTAGGAGTGGTCAGTGAAGCCACCACAGGATGCTAGTTATAGATTCATGGGAGGTTTAAAATAAACCAAATGTGTAAAGGTTTGCGGGTGGGGTGGGGGTCAGTGGAAGGGAGGTGATGAAGAGGGGAAATAAACTGTAATGAAACACACCATAAAAGCTGGCTAAAACAGGAAACTCTAAATGGTGTAGAAATAATATTGCAAATGAAAAGAACGGTTTCAGGTGACAGTCTGATTTCATTCTTATAGGGTTCAGTGTTGTTGTTAGGTGCTGTCGAGTCGATTTTTGACTCATAGAGACCTCACGTGACAGAGTAGAACTGCTCCATAGGGTTTTCTAGGCTGTAATCTTTATAGGAGCAGATTGCCAGGTCTTTCTCCTGAGGAGCCACTGGGTAGGCTCAAACTGTCAACCTTTTGGTTAGCAGCCAAGCACTTAACCATTGAACCACCAGGGATCCTTATATGGTTCAAATAGAGTTGTTCTATTCTCAAGCTGCGATACTAATAGTTAGAATTTCATAATCATTCAACAAATATTTTACTGAACCACTACCATATGTATGTCTGTTCAAAGCACTGCACAGAACAGAAAGAAATAAACAACTTGATTCCTGCTCTTAAGGAACTTACAGTTTCTATGGGAAAGAAGACACAGATCCATTAAAAAATTAACTAACAATATAAGACAATATATAATTAAATATCAAATCAGCAATATAAATAATACAGGACTTGAGAGAAGGGAAAGAACACTTGGGCTGGAGTGATCAGGGCAAATCTGCTACTGTTGGAACTTGAGCTAATGGGTAGAATCTGGAGATATAAAAAGGGAGGAGAAAACAAAACCAAGTTACGAAAAAGTGAAATGAAGTCAGGAGGTGGGAATAAATGAGATATATCTAGGGATCATTGAATAGACTAGCCTGGAGAGCGAGTAGTAGAAGATAAGGCTGGAAAGATGAAGGCGGCGAATTTGAGGTAGTCCTCGAAAGCTCAGGTAAAGAGTGTGGATTTAACTTGAAGACCACTGTTGCTTAGAGCGTGGCCTGTGGAACAACTGGATTGTTGCTAAAATGTAGACTCCTAGGTTCCATACCAAAGATACTAAATATGAATATCTGGTGGGCATGGCCCAGGAATCTTTATTTTAAAGCAAACTCCCAGGTCTTCCTGATGCACAGTCAAGTTTGAGAACCATTGCCACAGGCCAGGGGTCAGCAAACTAAATGGCCAGATAGTAAATATTTTAGGCTTTCCAAACTAACTAGGCCTCTATTACATATATATTTTTTCCTTTATTAAAAAAAAAACCTAAACCTGTTGCTGTCGAGTCATTTATGACTCATAGCGACCATACATAATCCTTTAAAAATGTAGAAACCATTCCTAGCTTGCTGGCCATGAAAAAACAAGCTGTGGGCCAAATGTCTTCCCCTCCTATAGGCAATAAGGAGTCTCTGAAGGTTTTTGAGTAAGGCTATGTTTTTATTGGCTGAGTATTCAGATATTCAATGAACATGGTTCTCAAAGCAGTGTATTGGTTGTTTTAACTCTCCCCTCTTCTCTCTGTTACCTTTTATATTCTGCCACCGTTCCATGGTGGCATCCATTCAGGTGATGTTCCCTGGGGAAGTTTCTCCCAAAATTTCTTCCTTCTTTTTCTGTTTTGGCAGCAGAATTGACCCTAACCTCAGCCATATACTATTCCTTTCCTCTTATGCCTTGATTGTGCTATTTTGTCTCCAAAAATCCCTGGAAACACGGAAGCAGCAATCACTAATGAGGGAGAGGGGTGAGAATACCCTAAACCAATAATTTACTGGATAAATAAGTGTTCCTGGATCAATGGGAATACTACGTGTCACAGACAGATAGGATATATTAAAGAAACAGAATGTGGGCAACTGTTATAGAAGTTTTACACTAGATGCAATGTATATAGGAGGGTTGGATAAGTCCTTTCAGTGGAATCTTCTGAGAAGGGATTAACAAGGTTAAGGCAAATCGTTAGAGATTCTGCTGCTATTAAAAGTTTGGGAGGATGCCCTGGGTTTGTGCAGGATAAGATATTTTAGCAATAGAAAGAAAGTGGCACAGATTCTGATCACCACAAGTTGCTAACCTTATTGGTGAAAAAGTCAGAATGTAAGTCCATCATACATCTATTTTATCTTGAAAGAAGCATCAAGGAGAAGAGAACACTGTTAGATCTAACCCCAGATTGCACTAAGAACCTATGGAAATACACTCGGGGAGGTTACTGAGCACTGGGATAAACTCTAGGTAAGATTTCTACTTCTTAAAATTCTCTGTTGGAGAGCTTTGATATTTAAAGCAGCTTGGTCAGCAAAGCAGGAATTGCATCAGTTAAAAGAATCTATACTCTTACTTACTTTAGATTTCCCAATTAGGAAAAATTTCAATTACAACAGGCACTTCTCCTTTCACCAGCTGCCCAGAAGCTGCTTCACTGAGAAAAGCCTGCTGTCCTAGCATGGAAGCATCTTTGAAACTGAAGGGCTTACCATCTCCATGGTGCAGATCCAAATCCACATAGAGAATACGGTCAAATTTCCGTCGCAATCGTAATATTCCCAGGACAGCATCATTGAGATAACAAAAACCAGATGCTTCATCTCTGCAAGAAAACAAGTTGCTATAGCCAACAGCCAAAAGCAATTCAAGGGAATCTTTACAGCCAAGTATCTAACCCTTGAGATCTATTCCCTTATAATTCCCCCTTCTTTTAAGAAAAAACAAAAAAATCAAAAAACAAAACCCATTTACAAAGATTATATAGTAAATAAATGCCCTAGAATGATCAGGGAATGAAGTGTTTTGGTAAACTAAATATTCAGGTGGATTGGTAAAATTTTTCATTCAGGTTCTCAGATTTTCAAAGAATTAGAATATTTAACTATACTAACAAAACAGAATCTTTCTCTGATGATTGAGGAATCATTTCAAAGAATTTGTAGTGCCCTGGGGTCATCATGGTGGCACAGTGGTTAAGAGCTCAGGCTGCTAACCAAAAGGTCGGCAGTTCGAATCCGTCAGCTACTCCTTGGAAATTCTATGGGGCAGTTCTACTCTGTCCTATAAGGTCGCCATGAGTTGGAATTGACTCAACAGCAACGGGTTTGTTTGTTTTTTTTTTGGTTTGGGGTCATCATGATGAATACTAATTATCACCTTTGGACTTTAAGAAAGCCAGAATATAGAAGGGGGCCTTAAAGACAGTCTTGCTCAGCCAGATGTAGATGTTGGAGATTGGATTATCTCTGTACTGACCCTATGACATAACCTAGAAGTCATTTTTTGAATAAGTTTTGGCACTTGTTACTCATAGAAAAGCTGAGTGTAGAATGTGCAAATGCAAAACCTCCTGGGCAGTATGAATGTGGTTGCCTTTCTGTAAATGTAATTATTACAATGGAGATTGAAACAGCCTTTTCTAAAGGTATTTTGTTTCCTTCACAAAAACTGTCTTCATTGACTTCATCGGTGTCCTTTAACTTTTTTGCTATTGATGATATTATGTCACTTTACCCTATGGTCAGCATTAACCCATTCTTTTATTATAGTTTCCTTCAGCCTTTTTGATTAGATGTAAAAGAATATTCTGTATCATCAAGAATGTATTATAAATTATTTTTAAGGTCTCATCCTACATCATACTTGTTTCTTTCAAATATCTAGACCATTTTTTCTAAGTTCTCCCTGATATTTCACTTAAACAGAATTCTAGGCATAAGCATCATGTAAAAGGAATCTTTGTCCAGTGCCCACATAATGAATAAACTTCATGAAATCTCTTATGTAATAACATTTCATATTCTGAACAATAACCTGCTTCATAGGCTAAATCAATGCGACAGGTACACTGGCAAGCAGAAGTTGGTAAAAATATCACTAGACACTGAATTTGCTTCATGAAGGTGAACTCAGCAAACATCTAGCAAAAGAATAGCTTGGCTGTAGATATGCAACCAGGAAGAAAGCAATTAGAGAAAAGGATTTGTCCATCTATGAATTCTCTGTAAATAAGCGCTAAATATGTGACATCTTTGAAAGTTCTTGGATGCTGTTTTCCAGATATGAAATGCCTACATTTTATAAGTCTGCTGTTGTAGCACATCGAATAAGAGTTCTGCTGTTCTCCCACTGAATATCAATAGCTTTTGGGTAAGTAGAACAGAACATTGAGTCTTAGGCAAAAGGAGGAGAGTAGAGAGGAGGAAGAATACAAATCAATACAAGACATACTTCCTTCCATTAGAAAGCCTAAAATTAAGTTAGGGAGACAGTTCATAAGCACAGAAAAAGAAAAAGAAAAACAAACAAACAAACAAACAAAAAAAAAACAACCAGAAACAACCCAAATGCCCATCAATGGACAAATGGAAAACTAAAATGGGGTACATACATACAATGGAATACTACTCAGTGATAAAGAAAAAAGAGTTCCCTAAACATCTTACAATGTAGATGAACCCGGAGGACATTATGTTGAGTGAAAGAAGTCAATCACACACACACGCACACACAAATGTTGTATGTTCTCACTTTTATGAAATGACATGAACAGATAAATATACAGAAACTAACGTTCATTAGTGGTTATGGGTGTGAGGGGAGAGAAGAGGGAGAAGTACTCTCTAGGTAGCAGTCATTTTTTGTTTATAGAAATGGAAAAGGTGGCACTGAATATGGGTGAAGTTTGCAAAGCCTGATTGATGTAACTGATGTCAATAAGCTATACACAGGGAAAAGAGATGAATGGGCAAATGCTATAGGTTGTGAATGGTCTTTTAACAATAACAGCAACCAAAAAGTGGGGGGAGGGGCTACAGATACTTACCTTTTAAATGACCTTTTGCTTCATGTATGGTCTTGATGTCATCCCACATACATGAAGAAAGCAAAAGGTTATTAAAAGACAGAAAAGAAAAAAAACCCAAAATGGATGTCAGAAGAGACTCTGAAACTTTCTCTTGAATGTAGAATAGCTAAAGCCAACAGAAGAAGTAATGAAATAAAAGAGCTAAACAGAAGACTTCAAAGGGCTTGAGAAGACAAAATGAAATACTATAATGAAATGTGCAAAGCCCTGGAGTTAGAAAACCAAAAGGGAAGAACACATTTGACATTTCTCAAACTGAAAGAACTGAAGAAAAAATTTAAGCCTTTAGTTGCAATATTGAAGGATTCTACAGGCAAAAAAAAAAAGAGCCCTGATGGCGCTGCGGTTAAAGTGATTGACTGCTAACTGAAAGGTTGGTGGTTTGAAGCCACCAGTGGCTCCACGGGAGAAAAGACATGGCAGTCTGCTTCCGCAGAGATTTACAACCTTGGAAACCCTATGAGGTCGCTATGAGTCGGAATTGATGGTACTGAAGGAAGAAGTCCAAGCTGCATTGAAGGCATTGGCAAAAAACAAGGCTCCAGGAATTGAGGGAATACCAGTTGAGATGTTTCAGCAAATGGATGCAACACTGGAAGCGCTCACTTGTCTATGCCAAGAAATTTGGAAGACAGCTACCTGCCCAACTGACTGGAAGAGATGCATATTCATGCCCATTCCAAAGAAAGGTGATCTAACAGAATGCAGAAATTATCAAACAATATCATTAATATCATACACCAAGTAAAATTATGCTGAAGATAATTAAAAAATGGTTGTAGCAGTACGTCAATAGGAAATTGCCAGAAATTCAAGCTGGAAAAGTAGTCCAAGATGGCGGTGTAGTCAGACACCTCATAATGTCCCTCTTACAACAAAGACCCAAGAAAACAAGTGAAACGGATATAGATAACAACTTTGGAACCCTGAACATCAAAGGCAAGGCTGAAGAATCGGACCGAGTACCAAGTGGAAGGAGAGACTGTACAAAGACAGCAGACACGGAGAATTACAGATTGCCGGTGCCCTGCCAGCAAAACGTGCATGGTGCAGCCATATTGAGACAAAGCAAGCAGTGTTCCCAGATGAAGCCCCCATCACCTGGCGAAGCCAAGCAGGAGTGACTCTGCACCCATGTCCAGAGCCAGGGAGGAGTGCTTCCCGCTCTGTGAAAGTTAAGTGTACTCACCTCACTCACTGTGCACCCCCAGGCACCTGTGTTAGAGGCCTATGGACCTGCAGTAGCCCCCATACCCCCATCATCCATTCTCCTGCATACATTCTAGGTCTGGCAGCAAACACCACTGCCCCACCCTCTGAGTCGGGGGCCTGTGGACCTGCAGCATCCCCTCTTCTGCCCACCCAATCACACTGGGGGCCTGCAATTTGGTGGTGCCCACTTCTCCATCCAATCACCTGTGCCGGAAGCCCGCGGACAGGTGGTGCTCCGTCTTCTGCCCACTCACCTGTGCCAGGAGCCTGTGGTCCAGCAGCACCCCCTCTTCCACCCATACCAGGGGCCTGTGAACTAGCCACCCCAATCAGGGCCTACAGACCAGCGGTGTCCCCTTCTCTGCCTGGCTGCTGATGCCAGGAGCCCGTGGACCAGCAGCACCCCCTCTTTCGCCTAGCCAACTGTGACGGGGGCCTGAGGCAGAAATGCCCACTCTTAAGCTCAACCACCTGAACTGGGGATCCGCAGATCAGTAGTGTCTCCTACTCCCTCCAGCCTCCTGTGCCAGTGGCCCAAGGACAAGCAGCATACCTTCCCCTGCATCCCGCTCAAGTGGGCATGGACACGCCCTCCTAGTGGGCACCTGTGAACTGGAGGCATACCCCCTGCCTTGCCTGCTGCTGCAAACAGAGGCTTGTGCTTGCTCCAACCACCTCCACACAGCCCTGCCTGCCCGAAACTGTCAGTGAGAATTTCCATATAACCCACGCGGTGACTGACGACCCAGGAACCCTTGCCCTGACCACTTGGCAACTGGCAGTGTGCACACACAACACCCAACCCAGCGATCAGTGAGAATGTTCCCTTCACCCACACCCAGGTGACCGGCTGGACAGACAAATTACCTCACCAGCAATGCCAGCTACATCCTGAGCTGCCCTGCAAGACCAGTGAACAGAGACCTGCACTGACACACAGCCACTGCCCTACCCACCCAGAGATAGGTGGTGAGAGCTTCAGTGCAACCAGACTAGCAATAAGAGTAGCATGCACACCTTGCCTACTTGGATACATCAAAACAAAACACCAGGAGCCAGCAAAAACAATACAATAAATAAATATCATAATATCTTTATGCCTCAGAGACAACAGACACTACAAAATCACATAAAGAAGCAGGACAAGATGGCTCCAGCAAGTGACCAAAATAAAGAACCAGAAAATGTTCCAGAGGAAGAAATAGCACTGCAACTACCTGATAAGGAATTCAAAAGACTAACATACAGGGTTCTCCAAGAGATCAAGAAAGATATCAAGGAAAACACAGACAAAACCAAGGAAAACGTAAACAAAGCAATAGAAGAATTCAGGAAAACAATACAATAAAAACGACAAAAACAAATAAACAATTAGAAACCATACAAAAACAGCAACTAGAAATCCAAAAGATTAAAAATAAAATTTCAGAAATAGACAACTCAATAGAAGAACATAGGAGAATTGAATCAATGGAAGACAGAATCAGAGAATAGAGGACAAATCCCTTGACACCAATTTGTTT